TACAGCTCACTTTTTCTCTTTTGAGCTGTATATTTAGTTTGCTTTTAAACCTACTTATTGAGTTCTTAATTTTAGTCTTGCATTTTTTATTTATAGGATTTCTATTTTATTCTTATTCATAGCTTTCAATTCTGTGGTGCAATGATCTGGCCATATATTTTCTTTATTTCATGAATCATAATTATTTTAAAGTATCTAACTGATAACCCCAACATTTGAGTTACCTGTGGTTCTGTTCCTTTTGTATCATTCAACATTCAGTCCTATTACTTGGTTATGCCTGGTATTTTTTTGATTACTGAATATTGTATTTACAAATGTAAGGTGCTCTGAATGATACTATTATTATTATTATTATTATTTTTGACACAGAGTCTTGCTCTGTTGCCTGAGAGAGAGTGCCATGGAGTCAGCCTAGCTCATAGCAACCTCAAAGTCCTGCACTCAGGAGATCCTCCTGCCTCAGCCTCCCGAGTAGCTGGGACTACAGGCATGAACCACCACACCTGGCTAATTTTTTCTATTTTTAGTACAAATGGGGTCTCACTCCTGCTCAGGCTGGTCTTGAACTCCTGAGCTCAAGTGATCCTCCTGCCTTGGCCTCCTAGAGTGCTAGGATTACAGGCATGAGCCACTGTGCCCAGTCTTGAATGATATTGTTTCCCTCAAAAAGATTCAGTTTATCCTCTGGCAGACTGCAAAGAAGCAGACCATGCCAATATAATCAGGTACTAATTAATAAAATGTAGAGCAATAAAAACTGTCCTATACCTCTGGTGGTAGTATAAGTGGAAATAATCACTTCAAAAGACAATTGTATATATCTAGAAAATTTCAAGATAGCATACTCCAAATTGATGCAATTCCTTTATTAGGTACATGTTATGGGGTGAGTCGTGTCCTCCTAAATGCACATATTGAAACCTTAACTTCTAGTACCTCAAATATGTGTGTGTTTGGAGGTAGGATTTTAAGAGAGGTAATTGAGTTAAAATGAGGTCACCAGGTGGCCCTTAATCCAATATGACTGGTGTCCTTATAAGGAGAGGAAATTTGGGCACAAAAAGGCACAGAGGGAAGATGATGTGAAGATACAGGGAGAAGCTGGCTATCTCTAAGCCAAGAAGAGGGACCTCAAAAGAAACCAACCCTGTTCACACCTTGGCGATACTGATACCTTGATCTCAGACTTCTAGAAGCCAGAACTATAAATAAATAAATTTCTGTTGTTTAAGCCACCTAGTCTGTGATGTTTTGTTATAGCAACCCTAGCAACTAATACAGTATAATAACGCCACTATCATTAATGATATAAGTGGGATTTAAAACTTTCAATCAGATAAAATACAGAATGCTATTGAAAAATCAATAAAATCACTCTCTATTCCATTCTTTTAACCTAACAGCTCCAAATTTTCTTCAGTGTAATACAAATCCATCTCAACTATTTAAAGTCAAATGACAAAATGCACACAGATAACACAGGGGAGGATCAATAGTTCTAATATTAACAGAGAATTTACAAATTAAGACACTTATTAATGCCAAAGGGAAAATGAAATTCTTAAAATGCTTTAAAATTGGTCAACAAACAGATAAGAAGTCAAAACAATGTTAAGACTTCCATTCAAAAATGGCAGTGGGGAAGCAAGTTGGCTTCACTCCCTGACCCCACAGAAAACCAAAAACAAACATATAGTGCCGAAATTATCACCAGCGATATCCCAGAACTCAAATATGAGAAGGAGACAGTTCCCAGGGTCACAGAGATGTGAAAAATCTTTGAGCAGAGAATTACATTTTTCACATTTGCATTATCCTTCCCCACAATCTGCCCAGCACTAACCAAGCAGAAAATTTTCCCCCCAACTCATGGTTTCTACATTGGAAAAAGTGAGATCAAGGTGAACAACCAGTTTTCCCACCATCTTGGGTTTCCTGGCAGGAGACCTGTCCCTGCCTCAACCCACAGGAAGGATTAAGAATACCCAAAGGGAGAAATATCTCTGAGTTCAAGCAGAAACAAGGGGGAAGGCAGAACTACCATCCCCAGCCCTGGAAACTGTGCTGAGTAACTTGACCAAAAGAGACCCAAATCAGAGTGGCTGTTCAGTAGTACCACACTGTAGGAGGTTCATTGCACAGGTCCTCTGGCCACAAACCCCAAACCAGCCTTCTCATATTACTGCGATAATTCTTTCTGAACCTTCCCTATTAGAGACCTACTGCACTCTAATTGTTTACTAGAGCTGAGGCAAATTTTGTAAAGTTGCAAAAAACCAAAATCAACATAAAAGAACCAGTAGCATTTATATACACCAACTACAAACAATCTGAAAAAGAAATCAAGAAAGCAATCCACTTTACAATGGCTGCAAAGAGTATACAATACTTAGGAATAAATTTAACCAAACAAGTGAAAGATCTATACAAGGAAAACTGTAAAGCACTGATGAAAGAAATTGAAGAGGACATTAAAAAATGAACGATATTCATGCTCGTGGATTGAAAGAATTAATATTGTTGAAATGACACTACTACCTAAAGCAATTTACAAATTCAATGCAATCCCTATCAAAATACCAAAGATATTCTTCACTAAAATAGAAAAAAACAATTCTAAAACTTACATGGAACCACAAAAGAGCCTGAATAGTCAAAGCAATCCTGAGCAAAAAGAACAAAGCTAGAGGCATCACACTACCTGACTTCAAAATATACTACAAAACTACAATAACCAAAACAGCATGCTATTGGCATAAAACAGACACATAGACCAATGGAACAGAATCGAGAACCCAGATAGAAATCCATGTATTTACAGCCAATTGATTTTGGACAAAAGCACCAAGAACATACAATGAGAAAAGGACAGTCTCTTTCATAAATGGTGCTGGGGAAACTTGATAACCATATGCAGAAGAATGAAACTAGATCTTTATCTCTTACCATATGCAAAAGTCAAATCAAAATGCATTAAAGACTTATATTTAAGATCTCAAACTATAAAAATACTAAAAGAAAATGTTGGTGAATGCACCAAAGCATTGATCTGGGCAAAGATTTTTTTGTGTAAGACCAGAAAAGCACAGACAACCAAAGAAAAAATAGGCAAGTGGAATTATATCAAGCTAAAAGCCTCTGCATAGCAAAGGAAACAGTCAACAAAGTGAAGAGACAACCCACAGAATGGGAGAAAATATTTGCAAACTAGTCATCTGACAAGAGATTAGTAACCAGAATATATAAGGAGCTCAAACAACTTAGCAAAAAACCAAATAATCTGATTAATAAAATTGGCAAAAGATCTAAATAGACATTTCTCAAAAGAAGACATACAAATGGCCAATAGGTATATGAAAAAATGCTCAACATCACTAATCATCAGAGAAATGCAAATCAAAACCACAATGAGATACCATTCCACCCTAGTTAAAATGGCTTTTATGAAAAGGAAAGTGAATGATGAGTGCTGGTGAGGATGTGAAAAAAGGGGAACTCTCATACACTGTTGGTAAGAATGTAAATTAGTAGAGCCACTATGGAAAACAATATGCAGGTTCTTAAAAAAATAAAAATGGAATTACCATATGATCCAGCAATTCCACTAGTGGGTATATATGCAAAAGAAAGGAAATCAATATATTGAAAAGACATCTGCACTTCCATGTTTATTGCAGCACTAGTCACAGTAACCAAAATATGAAAAAAATGCTAAGTGCCCAATGGATGAATGGATAAAGAAAATGTGGTACACACACACACACACACACACACACACACACACACAGAGGAATATTATTCAGACACAAAAAAGAATGAAATCTTGTTATTTGCAGCAACATGGAGGGAACTGCAAGTCATTATGTTAAGTGAAATAAGCCAAGCACAGAAAGACTAATACTGCATACTCTTACTCATATGTCAGAGCTAAAAAATGGATCTCATGAGGATAGAGAGTAGACTGCTAATTATCAGAGGCCAGAAAAGGTAGAGGGGAGGAATGGATGAAGAGAAGTTAATTAAATGGGTATAAATATATGGTTAGATAGAAGAAATAAGACCTAGTGTTTGATAGATAATAAGGATGACTATAGTTTACAATAATCTATTATGTATTTCAAAATAGCTAGAAAAGAATAATTTGAATGTTTCTAGTATAAAGGAAAAACAAATTATTAAGGTGATTGGATATCTCAAGTACACTGATATGAACTTTACAAATTAATCATGTGAATGTATAAAAATTATCACATGCACCCTGCAAATACGTACATCTATTATGTATCAATGAAAATGAAATTTAAAAAACAACTAAAATAACAATGAGATGCTATTTATCAAATACTGAATTAGCAACATTGTAAAAGAGATGAGAATGTTCAGCTTTAGTGAATATTCAGTAAAATACGTTCTCAATCATAAATTATAGGAGTAAAATTTGTGACAAGTATGGGGAAGTCACTTGCCAGATAGTGTTCATTGTGTTTTCACAGTGATTCCACTTATACGTGATTTTCAAAGAAATGATTTAAAGTTTAATGCACTGTTTTGTACACATTATATGTCATGATAAGATTATTTTAAAAATAATCATAAATGCAGAAATAAAGATAATATACAAAGAAGTTAGCCATCACATTACAAAAGAATGTAATAAAATTGGACAACAATTATTGTTTATTGGGTTTGTAATGAAGCTGAGGACAAGCCATTTCACTGCTCATCAGAAGCTACATACTTTTCGTTTTAGTCCTCTCTGCTTGGAGCCTCTGCCATGGATGAGTATGCTACTGAGCATGAAATGAGTGAGGATTCCAACTTTCTTAACTTTGAGCCACATTTTATTTCATCTCCTCCCCCTTTTGCTTCCCTTTCATGTGAAGTATTTTGTACAAGAGGCTGAGGTACACCTCCATCAAGTGGGAATTTCTAAAAATCAGTGGCATTTCCTTATACTCCCACCCTGTCTTTGGAGTGAAGCCCATGTAGCCACAGACCTGAGGTTCCTGTCTGACGCGGCTCCTCTCTGTTGAGGCAGGTGTCCATCTCGTGGAACAGGGTCTCCTCTAGAGAATCCTTTCTTCTTGATGAAGCTGAGAATGGGTGCTCCATGGTTAGGGTTTCAAATGGCCTATCCTTTATACGAGGATGCATAACTCTCATACTTGATACATATTCATACCTCTGAGTAAAATCTGATGGTCCTTTTAGGGCCTATCTCTGCTAGTGAATTCTCAATAGTTCTAATATTCATTCTCCTTTTTGCTGAACCCTTAAAATTCCTCCATTTTTATAACCAAGTCCTTTCCATAGCCTTTACTATGTGTTGGCCACTATTCATATGGATGATTCATTAATTTAACTCTCATAACAACCTAATTAGGCAGTACTATTATTTTCTTTATACATTAGGGAATGGGAGATAGAAAAGATAGTTTCTAGCCAAAGGCCACTCATATACCAAATAAGTGGGGTTCAAATCAAGGACACTCTTGGTCTTAATCCACATTTGTTTCCACATTTTCTATTGGTTATTTCTGCAATCTAGATCCTGAACCAAAATGCAAGTGCATTTATTCCTTTCTACAGGAATCCCCATCCCTTTTCCTATGATCCCAGATAAGTCACATTTTTACAGCCCTGGGGGCTCTCACCTACCTCTCTGGGGCAGATGTTTTTGTTTCTGTACTTGAAACCGTAGGAGAAATAGAACAAACAGAGCCAGGAGAATGAGCCCCACGATACAAGATAAAATAAGTGCTGAATGACCTGTATAAAAATTAAACATTGGTAGGTATTAAACTAGTAGATATCAATGGTGAGTTTATACATTGGAAAAGGAGCTGGTTCCCTAGTTGCTGAGAAGAATGATGGCTGTACATTTCAGCACACTCTGGAACAAAACAGTACATAATCTCTGAGAGCTATTTTCAATGAAAACTATCTCTGAACAATAGACTCCATTTAATTGAATCCAAATCTTTCGATGATGCTATTGGCCTAAATCACCTCCAATTGTATACAAAAGGTTTCATGATTAAACCTTTCCTCTTGCGTTGCATTCACCCCTTAAACACCAGGCCCAGAAAATACCTAGGGCTTGAGATGTTTCTGCCAGTCTGATAAGAATATGTGAGAACCTGCAGAGATAATTATATCTCTGAGAGTAACATGAGTGTCTTATCCTTCTCCACACAAAAAGAGAATTTTTCTAGAGAGAAGGTTTGTGTAGCAGAACAGTCATAGAGCAGTTGCTCTATGATGCCCGTTGCTGCCCTGCATGGTTTCGTGATTTTCGTAGGCTCCAGCCTTCTAGATTATCATTGAAGTTTGTTCTCCCTTGACTTCTCATATAGTTTTAGGCATTGGTGACATCACTCATGGGCAGAAAACTGTACCTGAGGTGTTCAGTGACTTTGGCAACTGTCCTGGAAGACAGAGGGAGAGAGAGAGAGGGAGAGAGAAAAATGCAAATGAAACAGATATCAAAGAAAAGAAACTGGGTAATTTTTTGTATCCCCTGGGCATATTGGGTGTCATTTAAAATATCAATTAGAATCCTCTTGCTTGGAAGTCTGAGGCTAAATCCAGCTTTCTTCCCTCATAATTATGGGAGCAATTTTAGATAACTATGGAATGTTATCTTATTTAGTTAGAGAAAATGTTAAGTTTAACATATCCTTTCATTCTTTGCTCAGAAACCCTGCTATCTTCCAGCTCAACTATCTGAGGCTGTTTCTCAGTGTCCTTTACCTTTGTTATTTATTTATTTATTTTTAATTTTTTCGTGACAGAGTTTTACTCTGTTGCCTGGGCTAGAGTGCTGTGGGGTCAGCCTAGCTCACAGCAACCTCAACCTCCTGGGCTCTAGGGATCCTTCTGCCTCAGCCTCCCAGGTAGCTGGGGCTACAGGCATGTGCCACCATGCCCGGCTAAGTTTTTCTATATATTTTTAGTTGTCCAGCTAATTTCTTTCTATTTTTTTTAGTAGAGACAGGGTCTTGCTCTTGCTTAGGCAGGTCTTGAACTCCTGAGCTCAAAAGATCCACCCACCACGGCCTCCCAGAGTGCTAGGATTAGAGGCGTGAGCCACCATGCCTGGGCCTTCCTTTACCTTTAGTAGGGCCCAGTTCAAGTGCAGCCGTTTCACACTTACCAGAGCACCTCACACCAGCATCTTCCTTGTGTCCACAGTCACTTTGGCCCCAGGGTTTGGCGTGGCAGTGCCACAGAAATGACTCGTTTCCCTTGCACTGCATCTCATCCAACCAGATGGGTCCAGTCCCCGGGCCAAATGCCGCTTCCCCCAGGGCAGCCAGAGCAGAGCCACAGCCCAGCTGCCGACACACCACCTCTGCCTCTGCCAGGTCCCAGGAATCGTCACACACCGTGCCCCAGGAGCCTTCGTGCCAGATCTCCACTCTCCCAGAGCACTTGGTGGCTCCTCCTCTAATTCTTATTTTATCTAGAAAGGCACAAAATGGGAGAATGTTGGGGTAGAAAGACTTGAAAGTGGTAGGCATGCGCGGTAAGGAAGGCAGAGAGGCAGAGTTTCAGTTGTACGTGGATTACAGAATAAGCTGTGAGGTGAAGAGGCCCCTACACATGCCTGTGCTTTGTCCTAGTCGTGGCAAGGGGTGAGGCATTGCCAAGCCGTCAAAACTAGATATTCATTTTCTACTGCTGGATGCTTGAAAGCAAATTAGTGATTTCATTCTTCAAATCCTGAAGTTCTGTCTTCTGACCCAAACCTCCTATCTTGCCTCTCTAATGTTCACAATTTCTTCAAATATAACTTTCATCTGACTTAAGTCTGGTCTGTAAGACCATTGCTTCTTCTATGTCATCCAACGATCAGTCCTTTCCTGCCTTTACTTCCCCACCTGTAAATCATGCTATGATCATAACTACAAACATTCTCTTGCCCAAATGAACAGTGTCTTGAGACTAGTGACCTCCCAACATACCCTAGGCGGCTGTGTATAGATGCAGGATAAGCTTACCTATCTCCTTTGATCCAATTCCTGCAATATGGAGTTGCACTGCAAATGATTATAATTCATGTCATTCTAAATTTATTTTTTAAAAATTCTGCTGAACCCTCAGTATTTTTGACAACTTAACATTTTTCTTTATTTCTTATTCTTCATTATTTTGTCAAATGCTCTTTAATTCTAAGCCTCTACCTTACTTCTGCCCACCAGCCCCATGAAGACCAAAAGGGAATCTCAGGATTTCTTTACTGGATTTCAGATCCCTTAATAGTATAGGAAAATCTACAGCTTCAGTAGACAATTGACTTTTAAGTATTTTGGCTTCTATTTGAAAAAGCTTTTTGACCTTAGTTTCTCATCCCCAAGTCTACTAACCTGCATGTACCCTTTAAAAGATCTCCTTTCCTCTTGCCATAAGAGCCTCTCTCCAGTTACCATGCTAACTTGCTCCTCTCTCTCACAGCCAAACATCTTGGAAGAGTTTGACTTTTTCCTCTCTTCATTTTTAAATCTCCTGTTCATTAGTAAATACTTTTAGACTAGCTTCTATCTCCTACCAACACACAGGGCATCACTGAATGGCCTGTACCATGGTAGGTTTAAACTACAGTTTTTAATTCAATCGCCTTTAATCCTTTCACAAAATTGACTCAAGAAAACTAGAATAACCCAATAGTCTTGGACATTCTTTTAAATAATAACAAACTACCATGAAAAATAGCTATAGGTACTCTTTTGCAAACATTAAACATAATTATGTTGTTCTCTATGCTATTAAAGACCATAAAAGCTGGTAGAATTTATTCTAATCAATTTTACCTTGCAACAAAGCTTAGTAGTAAAATCAGCAAATATAAAAAGATAGAGCACTAAATTTAGGGAAACTATGGCACAGTATCATTTCCATATGTACAGATGCAAAATTTCAAAGTAAAATATTAGTAAATTAAAACTTAATATGAAATCCAAAATTTCAGATAATATAATCAATGATTCAATAGGAAAATAGATTGAGGGGAAGATAGTGATAAATATGCTTCAAATAATTTTTCTGTCTGAGGATTTTTAATGCGATGTTACTTAAAGTAGAAAAATAACTTAAATTTCCTAAATGTCCAACAACAGGCATTTGGTGCATCAAATCATAGTATATCATAATACAAAGAAGTATGTTTTATCATGAGAAAATGTTGCTGAATCAGAAGAGCAGGCAATACAAAAATGCATAGTATAATAATTTTTTTTGCAATAAAGTATATGAATTTATATAAGAGATATATATATACATTTGACACTCGAGACTGTATCATCAGCTACTATATCATCAACTAATAATGGGATTATAGCTAATATTTATGTTTTTTAATGTTTTCTATATTTTATTTTTTGGGGGGAATTATTTTATTTTTTGATAAGATTGCAATAGCAAAAAGAAGCAAGAAATAAAAAATATAAATTGCAAATGGACAATTTTACAATAAATGTTCATACTCATTACTAACCAAACCTGGCAAATTATGTTGAGATAGTGGAAATTTTAATTTGGGAAAGAGTGTGTATGTCTGTGTATGTTCTCTCTGTGTAACACTGGTAGGAAGGGTGAGATAAAATTGATGCTGTCATATACTGATCATAAGAATGAAAATTAACACACAGGTTTCTGTGGGAGCAATTAGATAGTATGTATATAGAATTTAAAAATGTTCATTCACTTTACCTACTCCCTACAGGACTAGAAATATAATTTTCAGATATAGTCAGAGATTCACCAAAAGGGATGAAGAAGCTTATAAAGGCATTATTTATACTGGCTTGACTTTGAGAAACAATCTTAATATCAATAAAGACATGGTTATTTATGTCCATAGGACAAATTACTATGTGCCATTTGAAGGCCATTTACTGAAATGAGAATATATTCACAGTATAATTTTATATAAGAAGTAGGATATAAAGCACCACATGTATTCAACAGCAAATTGGTTTCACTGATCAACACCTAAGTGCACATATAGGAATAATATTTATTGGGCGTTGGGCAGGTGGGAGGGGGAGGAAGGGATGGGTATATACATATATAATGAGTGCGATGCGCACCATCTGGGGGATGGTCATGCTTGAAGCTCTGACTTCAGGGGCGGGGGAAGGGGAGGAAAAGCAACACACATAATCTAAACATTTGTACCCCCATAATATGCTGAAATAAAAAAAAGAAATAAAAAAGTAGGATATAGAAATCCTACTTTATATATACATGGCATTATACATCTTTAAATACAGTGTGATACTATATATGGAATGCATATATATCATACTACATATACACATATATAGTATTATATATATTGTATACCAGAATCATAACTTTAAGTTTTTGTACAAAAGGAATACTGACATATATGCTTCTGAATATTAGCAATGGTTATTTTTGATGGTAGGATTAATTGTGGAATTAATTATAATTTTAAAATTTCCAAAATTTCTGCAAAAAACATGTTAAATTTTAATTGAATAAAGCTATTTATAAATGTTTTTTTTAAGTAATCAACTTCCCATTCTGGAAAGTTCTACAGAAGATAATGAAGCATTTTAGTCTCCCCAATTAATTCACATTTCCCTGAAAGTTTTGAACTTTCTAGAATTTCCAAGACAAATTGTACATGTACATGTCCAAATTTTTTCATTTTTTAAAATACCACAGTTTTTATGAGAGTTGTTATCCTTTTATGTTCTTTTTATCTAGCTGCTCACAGGAGGCTTGAAGGAAGCAAAAGAGATAATACACATTTAAGACAGAAAACCTCTAAAATTTTAAACCGAGTAATAAATTTCACCGTGAGACAGAAGCAATGTCAATACTCATTGTCAGACACTTTTCAGTGAGTCTGCCATGTGCTCCCAAACTGACAGATTAGCTATTGGGGGCAAATTATAATTCACAGGGCTTCAGTGACGCCAGTGTTCAGATCCCCACCTTCACATGTGATCCAGGTCTCTTCTGCTGGGCTGGAGATTCTCTGCTCCCATGGGGCAGATGGGCACTGCCATATGGAGATATGCATTTTAGGACACTGAACGTCATCCACCCACACGAAACCAGAGCCTGCCTTGTTTGAAGGGGCGAGGCTGACAACTCCATTCTCTGCGCAGCCCAGGTGCCTACACACAACCCCTGCTGTGTCTGCAGTGATGTTCCTCCTGCCGACACTGCCCCACGTCCCGTTGTAGAAGACTTCCAACCTCCCAGCACAGCTCTCCATCTCAGTTTCACTGTGGAGCCTCAAGGCTGTGAATTCTGGAGAGAAATAGAGAAGCTAGTGTTAAATATTTCCTTTGGAGTTTCAGAAAAGTCATCCCTGGGGAATCCAATTTTTTTTTTTTACCCTGGAAATAATACACTAGGACTCAAAATATAATTTCATAAACCACTCTAACATATTAACAGACTGCATGCGATGGAAAGTAAGGATCTTGTGTGATTTCAGGGTTAATGGGGGGTTTCCCAAGGATGGTATTTATCCTTAAATTCATATCAACTTAAGCTAAAGTGCAACTTTCTTCACTCTACTCTCTTAACGTAAATTTGATTCAGAGATAATCAGAGGTTAATCCCATTTCTGCTACTCATGAGGTTGTGTTCTTAGGCAAGTTACGGTTGTTTGGCCTGTTAAAGACAGGGTGGATAGAATGTAAGGTCTCTTTCTTGGGCTTTAACCTTTTCTGATTCTAAGACCAATTCTCTATTTTCCTAAATTACAAAATGGCATCCAGACAAATGCAATATCATGCAAAGGTATTAAGAAATCAGTGTGAGAACAGAATTAAAATCAAGTTTCCTAAATGCCTACATTGTACAGTTTTCCCTACACTTTACCATTGCGTTGTGTGTGTGCATGTGTGTATGTGTGTGTGTAGAAGAGGGTGCAAGGGTTGCAGCTCGGACCTGAGCAGGTGACCCCCGCGTCCTCCTTGTGCCTGCAGTCGTGCTGCCCCCAGCCCAGCGAAGGGCACTTCCACACGTGGGACTCCTTCCCTGTGCAGTTCACGTCGTCCAGCCAGATGGGCCCTGCCCCCTCCCCAAAGTGAGCAGAGCCCAGGGCGTCCAGGGCCTGTCCACAGCCCAGCTGTCTGCACACCACGTGGGCATCGCTCATGTCCCAGCTGTCGTCACAGATGGTGCCCCAGGAGCCCTGATGGTAGATCTCCACTCTCCCGGCGCAGCGACTGCCCCCGTCCGCCAGGCGGAGCTGTCGGCTCCCTAGGAGAAGAATAGGTAACAGGTTACATTCTTTAGAGTTGCAAAACATTTCTTGGACAGTTTGATTCACTTACCTGAGCAGATGAAAGCACCATCTTCTCGAATAGCAGGTAAATATGGGTGAGATAGATTTGCAGGGCATGGGAACCGTAGCTGGGTCTGGTTTCCTGATAGGAGGTGCAGGAAATGGGGCAAAAGTAAATCAAAATACATGAAAAAGTTTGAAGAATTCTGTGATAAAGTGGAATCAGCAATCATGGTAAGGGTTTTTCAAAACTTATGGTCAATTAAAATTGTCTTAATTTATAATGTCTACTCGTAACCACCAAAGACAGCTGAGTGTTACCTGTGCCCTAGGAGTGGCCCCAGTTATCATTATTTATTACATGTTACTCTTTGACTCCCATGCCTCTCTCCTCCCCAATCCCCCATTTTCTTACCCATATTTCCTTTACTATCATATTCCCTCTACCATGTCTGGGCTACCTTGCAAATAGGTAACCATAAGCACTGTTCTCTTACCTGTGCAGTTCACAGAGACAGTGTTTCCATGGGTACAGGGAGTTGCTCCAAGGACTGTCATTGGACAATTATCTAGAAGTGATTCATTCCCTAAGCAATGAAACTTGTGCCCCCAAACATGACCTTTTCCTTCTCCAATATATTTTTTTCCTGTGGTTGAGAGAGCAAACCCACAGCTGAGCTGCCTGCATAGGACATGGGCATCTTCCAGGTCCCAGTGGGTGTCACAGACGGAGCCCCAGTTTCCAAACACCTTGATCTCCACTTGCCCCTCACAGTGGGTTTTGCCATTCACAAGTCGGGCATCTATATACCCTAGGAGGAGACATGGCTTTAGAGAAGAGACCATAGCTTTTCAACTCCAGACCCATACTCCCTTCTCTAGCCCCAGGCAATTAAGGTCATTTAAAATCTCACGAGAACAGACAACTCCAACTTCTCTGCCATGGTGACAGGTGTCTTCTGGATGGTGCACTGTGGGGCATAGGGCAAGATGAGTTTCATTCCCTTCACACTGGAACTTTTCAGCCCAAGTTTTGCCATTCCCTTGTCCAAAGTGAGCTCCCACAGAAAGAGATATGGCCTCTCCACAATTTAATTCTCGGCACAGCACATTGGCAGCAGAGAGAGAGAAGTCGGAATCACAGACAGAGCTCCATGTGCCTGCATGTTTCACTTCAACACGTCCAAGACAGGGACCGTCAGATCCAACCAGCCTAGGCTCCCTGTGAGCTACAGAACAATATTTTAAAGGTTAGTTTTTATGGTTCTTCAATATCTGTCTTTGTCTCCAATCTCTGCATCTAACCCCAGAGCACTTTTTCTTCATGCGTCGTTAGAACACTCCAATTGCAGGGGATCAGAGAATGATATCTTTGCCATACAGACCTGGTTCATAGATCTGGATTACACGTTTACTTTCTGTGTTTCGGTCACACACCAATCCTAGGTTTAGAACTCCTCAGAAAGGTTTGTTTTGTGCGTCCTCAAAGTATGTCTGTAATTCCCAAACTTCTCACTCCTTTCGTTGCTACTGCCTGGACTGAGCCACCATCATCACTTCCCTGAGTCATTGCAATAGATTCCTATGGATTCCCTACTTCTACCATTACTCCTCTACAGTTCAATTTTTAAAAATAAAAAGCCAGAAAGGTCATTTAATGTAATAATTCAGGTTAGATTAGTCTTCTGCACAGAATCCTCTATGGCTCCACATTTCACTGAGAGTAAAAACCTAAACTCCTGCAAAGACCTACTCGTCCCTGAGTGACTTCTGCCCACTGACCCCTTTGCGTCCTGCTGTTCTGCTCATTGCTTTTCACACTGGGCTCTGTCCTTTTCCTCAAACACATCAGGCATAATCCTGCCTCCAGGCTTTTGAACTGGCTGTTTTCTCTACCTGTATTTTTCTTTCGCATATGTGCACATCGCTGACTCTCTCACTTCCTTCAAGTCCTTCAAATTTCACTGTTTTAGTACCATCCCCAAGCATCCTGTTTGGAATTGTATTCTGTCCCATACACACTCGGAATTCCATTTGCCTGTTCTATTGTTTTCTATAGCCCTTCACATCTGCTAACAGTATTAATATATATTTTACTTTATCACAGAAAGTTCTGTTATATGGCACTACTCCAGAATCTCCTACCAATAAAAATGGAGTAACTTCCCTGGAAATTATATTGCTTTTTAGTCATAACCTTATCTATTTATTCCCTTTAAAATTCAACTTTTTGGAAATAGTGTAGCTACTATCCTAGTAGCCTTATCTTCTCAACTTGATCTTCTCTTTTTAATGTGACAAAAATGCTTTTATTAAGTTTACTAATGATTTCCTTATTGCTAAACTTAGAAAATGTTCAGTTTCATGAAAATTGGCTTCTTAGTATACTTTTGGTCAGAATTGATATCCTCTGCCTTTTGAAACAACCTCTTCCCCTTTAGGGACATGACATTCTCCAATCACTAGTTCTCAGTATCTTTTTCCAGTTGATTTTATGTCAATAAACTATTAAATATTTTTGTTCCTCAGGGCTAAGAACTTCTTTTTCTTGGATCTAAGTTTAAAAAAATTCTAGACTTACATTTTATTCCTATATTTTAGTTTCCATTCACATATCTAGGACTCTAATAGTTCTACCTCCATTTAAGATCTGTCTTCTGGTCATCTAAATTTTATATCTAAGTGCCTATAGTCATCTTGACTGCGCTGTTTTACAAATACCTTAGACTTGACACATACAACACTGTACTCATCATCACCCCACCCCCTTCAACCCGCTCCTCTGTCAGGATTCTTTTCAGATGATGAAACTGCAGTATGTCTGCCCACTTAGTCCAGAAATGTTGGAGTGATCTTTGGGTCCTCTTTATCTGTATTCTTGCATTCAATGTATTATCAAGTTCTGATGGTTTTAGCAACTAAATATTTCTGGAACCTCTTAACTTTTCACCAGCCCCACAGTGAACATCCTAATCAAAATTCACTAACCTTCATTAAAATTATTTAATAACTTGACTCTCAACATCCAGTAGCCTCTCCTCTACAAATAGGTAACATCCTCTAATTATGGCTTCTCCTTTCATTTTGTACTTCTACTTCTTACAATTTTAAGCAAATAATTATTTTATTATATATTTTTATTATACTCCTGTCTTCTAGATAGGAGGGTAGGGCTACTTTTCTCCCTTTCGTCTACCCTTAACCTAGTACTGTTAAGTAGTCACTCCATAAATATTTATTAAATAAATGAAAAAATAAATAATTGAATAAATGCAAGTATCTTTGTTCAAAAATTACCTGAGCAGATCAAATTAACTTCCATATTAGGAAAACACCGTGACCACCTCCAGTGTATACAGTCCCAGAGGGAGGCTTCATTTCCAGTGCAGCTAGTTTGAAAATGGGACATGAGTAATGTGTCCCCTGTGAAATTAGGCTCTAGGGAGGCACTGATTGCAGACCCACATCCAAGTTGCCTGCAAATAACTTTAGCAACGTTCATTCTCCAGCTGTTATCACACAGGGTTGCCATCGTACCCTGGGCTTTCACCTCGACTCTTCCAGCACACCTGCTGCTTCCACCCACAAGCCTCAGTTCCACATTTGATTCATCTGTAACCATAAACCAGAATGATTTTAGAGAAGCATGCCATGCAAGACATTCAAAATTTGTATCCACTTACTTACACTAACATACACCAGTGGCCAAAAGTTGGAAGACTGTCCAGGTTCTGACTTCACTACTGTGTTTAATAATTTTATTTTCTCTTTTCCTTCAAAGTTGATTTTCCTTCTTATTGAATTTTAAAAAATGCCAAAAGTATCAACCAGGTATGTTTAAAAGCAATGAACATTTCTGGCTTAAAAAGCAAGGATATCATTTTGGTTGCACAATCTGATCAGAGATTTAGGATGAAAAATAATGTTACCTAATGGTCCTAATTCCCAATTTTGAAGAATTACATATTTTCTGTTAGAGGCCAAGGAGACTATCAGGGAGAGGTTATATAATATAATGAGGAGTCAAGAAAAAAATGCATCGGGCTATGATATTAACACATCCAGGAAAACTTAAACACTTGCGTATTAGAGATGCTAAATGAAATAATTCCAAAAAATAAATTGGAGCTCAGAAAAAGAAAGCACAAAATTCATTGCATATGAGAAGAATAGGTGATTTTTTTTAAGAATTAAGAAATCAGAAATTGATTCTGGGCCAAATTGAAACAGCCAGATTTTGAAATTGAAACTTTTGGAGGGAAGAAAAATGGTGGACTAGAGGCAGCCTGCCAACTTGCTGCTCCCAAGGAAATAAGTGAAAAGTGCAGGCAGCCGCCTACACACAGATCTCTCATCCTGGAAGCAGCATCGTGAATTTACAGAGAACCAATGTGAGACACTCAGTGTGGAAGAAAAGGTGATGGAGTGAAACATATAAAAAGATTAGAGAACATGAGGAGAACAATAGGAGAATAGAGCGTGGGAGTGCCATGCTTGTCCTCCTGTTGCAGTGTGGACTGAACTGTAAGATGACATACACCCCCCTACAGACTTCCTTACCTGCTCAGACAGGGACACGCTTGAAGTCTGTGTAGAGCTGCTGCACTAGACAACAGGTGCTGTGGGGACCAGGCAACAGCTAAAGCCATCCTGAACCCTCTGGTGCACCACGCTGGGTCTACACTGTGCTGGGGCTGGGGAGGGAGTGGACCAACTTCTGGCTTCCCTGAACCATACTCTGGAATTCAAAGCCAGGAGCTTCTCTCCTAAAGTGCAGTGGGACCTGGGCATGGGAATTGACTGGAAAGCAACAGGCTTTTAACTGAGAGGCTTGGATGACTGCTTTGGAGGGTCTGGGTAGGGCATGGAGAGATACAACCTCTGCACACCTGACCTGGCATCCACGAAACCCTTGTGCCTAAGAAGTAGCCTGCAGCTTGCTTGTTTCTGAGTCTGCCATTCAGGCCTAAGCCACCTCCTGCCTGCCTGGCCTAGATCTCCCACTCCAGGTCTGGCCATCTTGTCATCTACACAGCCCGACTTCTGGCTCAGAACCCCTGCTCAGAGGCTTTGCTTCTGGCTCCACTCCAGTCCTGGCTTGGAGGCTTTCATACAAGAGTGCAGCAGGCTCTGAACTGAGAGGCTTGGGGTGGCTGCTTTGGCAGGCTCTAAGAAGAGCATGAAAGCTCCATGGTCCCTGGGCTTCTGGAGCCAACAACAGCCAACCTAATTTGGCATTAGTGGGACGCTGGTGCCTATAACCAACCAGCTACTTGCTTGCCCCAACTCCACCCTCTGGGCCCCAACTGTCTTCTGCCTACTTATCCCGACCCTGACCTCCAGGTTGTATCAGTGGCCATGTGCACAGTCCAACTTTTGGTTCAAGGGCCTTGCTCAGAGGTTCTGCTTACGGCTCCTTCCCAGTCTCAACTCTGAGGCTTTCATGACTGAACCTGAGGCTCTTCCCCTGAGACTACAGAAATCCTGCCAGGCCTGAGACACCATACCCAAGTCTCCAGTGCTGCATCTGGACCTCAAGACCACAACCCAGACCCTCTATCAGCAAACCAAGGCTGGAAGAACTGCTACAAAGTCCAATGCCCTGCGAGAGAGGCCCTAGCCTCAAGTCACCAGCACACAGTGACCTACTTTGAGCAATCTTCCACAACCCAAGAACCCAAAACAACCTTATTCAGCTGCTACAGTTACTTCTGTGGGGAAACCATGGGTAAAGCAATCTCCACAACACCAGCCTCAGTGAAGACAGTCTTGTCCAGCTCCCAACTTGAACATCTTACAACTATCTGAAGAGTTCCCAAAAGGAACAGTAGTCCTACAAACCTAGTAACCCAGAACTCAGAAAAGAGGGTTCAGATGAGAAGAAAAAAACAAAGGAACCCTGGCAACATGAAATATCAAAACAAATCAATACCCCCAAGGAATCACAATGGAACTACAGTGGTGAAATCCAACTACAAGAAAATTGTTGAAATGATAGAAAAGGAATTCAGAATATGGATGGCAAATAAGATGAATGGAATTGAAAAGAAAGTTGAAAACCAACAAAAAAAGCCCCCAAAATGCTTCAGGAAATTAATGAAAAAAACACTAAAGAGCTTGACAAAATTAGGAGGATACAATAGAACTTAAAAAAATGAAAATTTTTCACAGATTTTCAAAATGCAGCAGAAATTTCAGAAACAGATTAAACCAAGGAGAAGAACGAATCTCAGAGCTTGAAGACAAGGCTTTCAAGCTAACCCAATCATTTAAAGAGGCAGAAAAGAAAACAATAAGGACAGAACAATCACTTAGAGAGATATGGGACTACATGAAGTGAACAAATATAAGAATTATAGATATTCCTGAGGAAGAAGAAGAAAGTGCTAAAAGCATGCAAAATCTATTTGAGAGAATTATTGTGAAAACCTTCCATAGTATTGCCAGAGATCCAGACATCCAGATACAAGATGGTCATCAAATGCCAGGAAGATTCATAGCAAATAGAACATCTTCAAGACACATAGTATTCAACCTGGCCAAAGTCAAAGTGAAAGAGAAAATTCTGTAAGCAGCTACATATAAGCAATGACTGACTTTCAAGGGAAAAACCATCAGGATAACAGTAGACTTCTCAGTGAAAGCCTTACAAACCAGAAGGGGGTGGGCTTCCATCTTCATAAACAAAACAACTGCCAGCCTAGAATTTTGTATCATGCAAAACTAAGTTTCACATTTAATGGAAAAATTAAGTCTTTTCCAGACAAGCAATGCTAAGGAAATTTTTCAAGTCCAGATCTGCCCTGCAGGAAGTACTCAGGCCTAAACTATATATGGATCAGACGATAGACTCCCACAAGTATAAAATCCCCCAAAAGATAAAGGTTGGAGCCCAGTCACTATAATGGCTCAAGAGGTAAGACAGAGCTATAAAGTCCTACTCAATAGGAAGAACATAAATCCACCCCACTAATAAATTCTTTCAATAAATATGAATGGCTTAAACTCTCCACTCAAGAGACACAGGCTGGCTGAATGGATAAAAAAATACATTTAGAGAGTATTATCTTCTGTCTCCAGGAAATAAATCTAACTCACAATGACTTATTCAGACTTAAGGTGAAAAGATGGAAAACCACATTCCATGCAAATGGAAACCAAAAGAAAGCCAGTGTAGCAGTTCTCTTATCAGATAACATAAACTTCATATCAACAAAAGTAAAGAAAGACAAAGATTATCATGATATAATGATAAAAGGAACAATTCAATAAGAAGACATAACAATTCTAAATTTTTATGCACCTAACACAAGTATGCACATATTCATAAAGCAAATCCTACTTGATCTAAACAAAATGGTAAATGGCAGCACCATAATATCTAGGGACTTCACTACACCTCTGACAGAACTGTACAGATTCTCCAAACAGAAAGTAAACAAATAAACAAAAAATGGACTTAAACAGAACTCTAGAACAAATGGGCCTAACAGACATTTAGAGAACATTTTACCACCCCCCCCCAAAAAAAAACAACACTGAATGCACATTCTTCTCATCAGCTCGTGGAACATTCTCTAAGATTGATCACATTCTAGGCCACAAAACATATCTCACATGCCTCAACAAATTAAAAAAAATAGAAATTATACCATGTATCTTCTCAGACCACATTGGAATAAAATTAGAAATCAACTCCAACAGAAACACTCATTTCTACAAAAAGTCATGGAAACCAAACAACCTACTGCTGAACAATAGTTGGGTCAAAGAGGAAATTAAGATGGAAATCACAGACTCTTTGAACTAAATGATAAAGGGGCAGAAGTTATCAAAATCAGTGGGATACAACTAAAGCAATCCTGAGAAGAAAATTCATAGCCATAAATGCCTATATCCAAAAGACAGAAAGATCATAAATCAACAATCTAATGAATTATCTCAAGGAACTGGAAAGGATGAGCAAACCAGTCCTAAAACCCAACAGAAGAAAAGAAATAACCAATATTAGAGCAGAACTAAATGAAATCAATAACAAAAGAACTATACAGAAAATTAATGAAAGAAAAAGTTGGTTTTTTTTAAAAGATAAAATTGACAGGCCTCCCATTGGGTTAACCAAAACCAGAAAAGAAAGGACTCTAATAAGCTCAATAAGGAATGAAAAAGGAGAAATAACAACTTATACCATGGAAATGCAAAATCTCTGAAAACTATAAAAAGTCTGTGATCATATACTTGAAAAAGTAGAGGAAATGGATGAATTCTTAGAAACATACAGCCTCCCTAGGTTCAATCAGAAAGAAATAGAATTCATAAACAGACCAATATCAGGTAGCAAAATTGAAGCAGCAATAAAAATATCTTCCAACATTAACAAAAAAGTCCCAAACCAGATTGTTTCACATCCAAACTTTACAAGACCTACAAAGAAGAACTGGTGCTTATCTTGGAGAAATTAATCCACAATATTGAGAAGGAAGGAATTATCCCCAGCTCCCCAGTACATTTTATGAAGCCAACAACACCTTGATACTAAAGCCAGGAAAGGATTCAATGACAACAAAAAACCCTACAGACCATATTCAATGAATATTCCAATCCTTATGAAT